ATTTTTTAGATAATAGATGAAAAGCGGCGCATCCACCGCTTTCTATGACGGCACGCTACTGAACATCATCTATTTGTCTGTTCCAGCGCAGATTATCACCAAAAGTTATTCCTAAAAACGTGATAGCGTTTACTCTTTCTATGTTGTTATCAGTTATTCTGATTTTTAGGTGGTCGAAGTTTACTTTTTTGTTTCTATTGGCAAAACAGAGAAGTTTTGTCTTGTTTTTATTAATTGCCAACCTATTATTTTCCATATCATTGTTTAATGTTTTTNTTCGAAATTTTACCCATTTATGTGAATTATCAATATGAGATTATCAGAAGATAACGTTTCTATCCCATTAAATAAAGAATAGGTTAAGGGAATTTTTCATTTTTTTACTTGATTACCTTTCGTGTCCTCTCCAATTTATGTATTTTATTGTAATTTACATTCATATAAACATGATTTATATATAAATATGCTGATTGCTACATTCTATAGCCCGAGAGCACGATATGAATAAACTGATTATCTACCTAGAACATGATTTACATCCCTTATACATGATTGATTTAGAGTATGTATGCACATAAATTAATGTCAGGAGATAAATTAATACAGTCTTTTAGTTACTATAGCAGGTTGCATACAGTTTCCTAAAGTTAGAGTGTAGAAAACACAAAATAAAATGTTACTGTAAGAATATTTGTTGGATTTTCATTGATTGTACAGTACATGTTTTATTGATTATACATGAGATATTTTACGTGTTTATGAACGTGAATTGGTACCAGAACACAGTAAATTCTTAGTATATGCCATCAAAGTAGTGTGTGCTACAGTATAGAGAATAAATAGTATATATTGTGTTATACACATTGATTTTACATGCTTATGCATGTAAATTCTTGGCAGAACATAATTTAATATAGTCCTTTTACTGCTATGTTAGAATCTATGTAGATTTGTAAAAATAAAGTAGAGGAAAACGACACGAAACACTACTATAAGAGCATTATCTGGATGTTTATGGGTTACACAGGATTGATTTTATATTTTAAGAACATAAAATAGTGTTAGAGGGTAAATTAATGCAGCCTTTTTGTTACTACTCGAATAAGAATCTTGAAGACGACAGCAAAAACAGTGTTACTATAAGGATATTGTTAGATATTTATCGATTACAGTCATTGATGTTACATGTACTGTACATGTAATTCGTTTTTATATAAAAACAAAGGAATATGTCAAATTAGAATGTAAAATACGAAGGAATTCTTCAGTTTAGGATGTAAAAACGAAGCAATATTTCAGATTAGAAAGTAGAAAACGAAGGAATATATCAAATCAGAGTATAAAAGAACGAAGTTTAATGCTACCACAAGAAGTATTTGTCTAACATTATTTATTTATTTATTTATTTTAAATTACATCCCAGTTATTAGTGTCAAATAACTCCTTAAGTAATGTAATGACTTTTGAGAATTTATTTATGACTCTCAATAATTATCTAGAGACACGACTCTCAGCATTCATCCACTCAGATCTTTTAATTAATTAGATTGCCACAGAAGTAGCCAAGCGTATCGAGCAGTCGAAGAGAACACAGCAATTTATTAAAAAAATAAGGGAAAAAATGTATATATATATATATATATGTATATATATTACAGAAAGAGAGATTACTTGTACAGCAACAAAAGCTACTTTAGTAATAAAAATAGAAGAGGGGGAGGTAAAAAAATTACTTAAGCATACCTCAGATAACATTAATCCTGTTTGTTAAGTGATTGTAGCAATAATTATATGAGATTTTTCATTATTTTCCTCTGCTATTATAGCAATAAACTATGCACCCCTGCTATGATTTGTTCTATTTAAATATTTGCTTAAGAACGAATGTTATTTTAATAGTATTTTGATTAAAAATTGAAATAAATCTCACGAAAATCTGGAAATTAATCCTATATTAATATAGACCATATTGATCTTAGAGCATTTATATTAAGCATAGGGCCTGTAGCATTGTTAATACAATGAGTCTATATCTTTCTATCTGGTATAGTATAGAATTAATATATTTACTTCTATATTGTACTATTTATAATTCTACTAGGATAAATTATGTTTAAAGTAATGCTCTTAAAGTAACTTTAAGAGTATAATTCAGATCAGCATCCATACAAAATAATGATGCAGATTATAGCATATAGATATAAATTGTTAAATTTTGAATTATTTGAGAAATTTTTCTTTACTGTAGCAGCATTCTTTATCGTTTCCATTAACTAAATCAATTAATTACTGAAAAAATGAATTATGTTGATGTATTCATTTAAAAAATAAAGGAGAAGGACAAATAAATTATCTCATTTAATAAAATAGTATCACAATGCTGCTATAGTAACAATGACTTTATTGTTGAAATTTTTAAAAGATTATTTAATGTTTTAATTAAGAATTTATATTTATTACTATAGAATATTTCAGTCATTTATCATTTACATTTTTCTCTAAATTAATTGAATAATTTTCCATTCTTAATTCATCAAAGATTTATTGTTGCTATAGTAACAATGGCAATAAAGATGTAAGAGGAAGGGGAAAAAATTAAAGAATTTATTAAAGAAAAATACAGAGATTAGAGAAAAAATTAGGGGGAAAATAGAAAATTTATTTGAGGATTATTGTAGAAGTTAGAGAAGAAAAATTAGAGAATGTTAGAGAAGTTATTAGAGAATACAGAGAAAGTAATAGAGAGAAGTACAGTAGAAATATAGAAAAAATAATTAGAGAATAGAAAAAAGTATTGAAATTAAAGAGAAAAGTTAGAGCAAATTAGCGAAATTACTTGAAAAATATTGTGAAAATTAAAAAAATAATAATAATAACGACAGAATATTAGAGAATGTGTTTATTAGAAAAAGATATAGGAAAAAAGAAAAAAGTGAAGAAAAAATATAATTAAAGAATAAAAAGAAAATAGAGTGAATAGAAAGAAAGTGCAAAAAATATTATAAAAAATTAGAGAATAGAAAAAATAGAGAAATTAGACAAAAATTTAGAAATTATTTGAATAATATCCTAAAAATTATAAAACAAAATGACAGAATATTACAGAGAGTTTATTAGAAAATAGGGATAAAAAATAGAGGAAAAAAGTAGAAGAAAATGAAGAAAAAATAATTATAAAACAAAATAATAGGGAAGAAAAAATGAATAAAATATAGTGAAAAATGCAGGAAAAATGGAAAAAATAATTAGAGAATAAAGGAATTAAAGCGAAAAAATTGGAGAAAATTAGCAAAACTATTTGAAAAATGCAAAAATTTGAGAAATACGTTGAAAAAATAATGATAAAATATAAAAATGAAAGAATATTAGAAAATAAAGAGAAAAAAACGCAGAAAATATACAAAAATAGTAAAAAAAACAAATAAATAAAAATAGAGAAATTAGAGGGGGGAAAAATTAAAGAAAAATTAGCGAATTTATTTGATAAATATTCTCAAAAATTAAAGTAAAGAAAAATTAGGAAAGAAAAAAAAAAAGAATTTTAAATTAGAGAAAATTACAGAAATCATTGAAAATTCATATTAATTATTTTTATTTACATTCTGAATTTTAATTATAAAAAGTGCATGTTTATTTTTAATTACTATTGCAATTTCATTAAATACATTTACTTAATTTTAATTATTTTTATGGAATTTATTTTATAAAGGTATTTTTATTAATGGTGTTTCATGTAATTTTTCAAATTATGTTATTTTAATGACATTTTTATAAAATAATGTGAAGTATATTTAATTAGAATAATTTTGTAATTAAATCTTCTATAAAATAACATTAATTTATGGTATTTCATTCAATTTTAATGTTATTTTGTAAAGAATTTTCATTATAATAATATTAAATGTAATATTATTATAATGATTTACCATTTTTTATGGTCTATTTTATGTAATTTAAGCCATATAAACGTATTTTTTGAGGGATGTTTAAAATAAAATACCATTAAAATCACATCTAAGTACCACAGAAATTGAAAAATAAGTGATTAATAATAACTTTAAAATAAATTAACAGGATACCACAGAGTAGAACGTCTCAACCTTTTTCACTCGCGAACCCCGACTCTTCTGTGTATAAGGTTTCTGTAGATTCGTGAACCACCGGTTGAGAAGTAATGCCATAGACAAAAAGCACAAATATTACTTTATGTAATGTTTTAAATTGAATTTTTTTATAAATCAATTAGTTACTTAATGATATTTTACAGAAGCTAATTATGGAAATTTTAATTATAGTTTTATTAATATTTAATTAAATTATTCTTATGGGCATATTTTTATGAATTATTTTAAAATATTATTTTTTATAAATATTTTACGTGTTTACAAAATTTGATATTGTCTGTTTACTTTATAATTTAATAAATATTTATAGATCTTTACCATTGTTTTAAGATTGTAAAATATTTAGAATTTTTAGATGTTTCTGATTGTTTTATCATCCGAATGATGCAAACTGTATAGTTGTTACAAAGGTAGATTTTCAGATGATGCAGACTGTGCACTTCCTACGAAGGTAGTTTCTAGGTTCTAGAGACTGTATAGTTGTTACAAAGGCAGCTTTTTAAGTTATGCAAACTGTGCACGATTGCTATAAGTATAGATTTTTAAAGTATTTATACATCTGTGCATTTATTGCATACATATGAAAAATTTATACAGTTAATTATATATGATGGATACTATAAGACTCTGATTACCAATACATTATAATATTTAATTTTACTAATATAAATATAATAATTGATTTCCTTTTAGGTTTTTAGAATGTTTGCAATCTTGTAATTATAATCATCATTGTTCTTTTAGAAGCTTTAACATCATACATTTGCTACAATTAAAGATTTCTTAGATATAAGTAACGTAATCGATTCCTATCCCTTCTGTTCTTAAACAATTGATGCTGTATGGAGAAAATGATAAAATTTGCATGTATTACAGTGGAGGCTCCTTCAGTGGAATGCCCTTTTAGAGGGCCATTCACTTTCACTTACAGTAGAGGTCAGGGAGAATGCAAATATCCACTTTCTACGGTCGATGCTTGTACAGATGATTCTCATCTTCTCTTCAGGTTTCAAGCTTGCGCTGAAGTCCCTGGAACTGAAAGCAGTGGTGAGAATTTCTTCCCATGTTTTATTTTATTTTTCTTGGGTGTAGATAATAACAATTCCATCGCAATAAGCTACTTTAAAAAGATTAGAAAAAGGAAAGAATAATTGTTGATGGAATAATCCTTTCCAGTGATTCCCGTGGAAGGGATGTTCTTGCTGATCTTCTTTGACAATTTGTTATCGTAATTTAAGCAGAATATATTTCAATAGCGTACTTTTATAGAATTATAGATTATATTTAAACTAAATTTGAAGATTTAAGGAAGAAAAGTACTTAGAATTTAGAGTATTCTTCATCAGAACATTGGTTCGTATATTTTTTATGTTAAAAAATTAATGGATATATATTTACAAAAATTCCTATTTTTAAAAAAATCCATGCATATATTAATAAAAATTTTCAAATAATTAAGTTATTGCCTTTCAGAAAAATCCCTTTTATTGTAGAGAATTTTCCCTCAATAATGGTGAAAGGGAAAATTTAGGGAAAAAAACGAAGCATCTCTTTAATAATTAGGGAAAAACTCTTTCATATTATTATTGATAGTTTTGAATTTAATTTTAGAAAAATTTTAGGGAATTTTCTCGAATGTTAATTCCCTAAAGTACAAGGGAAAATGGAAACTTAAAGTAGTTTTTAAGATAGAAAAATAATATTAAAATGTTTGGAAATTTTAACTTTTTAAAACTTATTTAAATAAATAATAAAAGCTTAAAAATTATTTTAGTCATAAATTCAGGATTCTAATATTTAAATTTTTAATTATATTTAATTTTTTTTAGTGGAGGAACTAAAATGTTTAGCAATCTGGAAGGAAGGTTCAGTACATTATTTGGTAGGGAAAATGACAAAGCAGAGAATTGTCAACGTTCATGGAGATGAGGATACTTATCGATGTTTTGTAGGTATTTTTAACCAATAAAACTTATAAATTATATTAAAATTATCGTGAAATTCGAAAGAATTTTAAACTAAAATAATCAATTTTTTCCTTTTCAAAATACAAGCGACATTTATGAATTATTGATAAAAATTAATGAGAAAATTTTTTATTAAATCGAATTCGTATTCTTTGTAATTGTAAAAATAATTTTTTAAAATAAAATTTTAAATAATTTTAAAAAATAAAAAGAAAAACTAATTTTAAATTAATCTTTTGGAAGGAACAGATTAGAAAAAGAAGAGAAAAACTTGAAATTTCTACAATAAAAAGAATTAATTTTGAATATTTCTGTATAAGAAAAACTTTATTATTCAGATGGAGGGTTTAAAAATATCCCTAACATTAAAAAATGTTAGGGATATTTTTAAAAGGGTTAAAGGAAATTTTTTTTAATAAATAAACATTTTAAGGGCTTTTACCCTAATAAAAAATGCAATTTGACACGCAATTTTTTAATGAAGTATATATCATTGAAATAATTTGAAATGTTTAAAAATTAAATTACTAATGATTTTTTAGGATTATATTTAAATTTGTTTTATTCAAATGAAGGAATTAAAGAAAAATCCCTAACAGAAAAATTTCAAAGAAAATTTTCCTACTAAAACAAAACATTTACGAAACTTTTTTCATAAATAAACATCAATAGGGATTTCTCTTTAATAAAATTCAACAGGCAAATTCTGTAATGAAGTGAAAAGTTTAAAGAAATATACGTAAAATATTTCAGGGAAATTTCCCGAAAAATAAAGCATTTTTAAAGAAATTTCTGAATAAAATGATATATTTAAGTAATAAAATTAAAATTCGTGAACTTTTTTTTCTATTAAAATTAAATATTTAGAGACATTTTTCTAATAAAATAAAAAATTGAAAAAATTTACAAAATGAAGGATTCAGGGAAATTCCCCGAAAGAATGAAATATTTTAATGTAATTTTCCTAACTAAAAGTTTTAATAAAATTAGGAACATATATTTTAAAAACTCTCCTAGTTTTAAAAGGAAACATGCAAATATGTAATGAAAACACTACAAAAATTCTTATTAAAGATATTTTAAAATAATTTCTAATAAATTTTCTATTAAAAATAAAAAGAATTTAATACTGTTCAGTTTTAATTTACTATTTTTTAAAATTTAGAATAGAAAAATAAATGAAAAATATTAATAAATCCCTGATAAATATTTTGAAAGTTTGGAAAGGGATTTATTAATATTTTAGGGACTTTTTAGAGTTTTCTAATATTATTAAAAGATAAAATATGTAAAATTTTACTTTTAATTAATCTTTACGGATTTTTAGATGTTTTTCCCTAATTAATAGAGGATTATTTGGATGAATTGGCGTACAAATAAGTTTAAAAATACTTTAAAACTAAAATTTTATAATTTTATAAGCAAAAATTATGGAGAACTTTGAAATTTTAAATTACTCTTATTAACAAATAAGAAACTTAATAATTTATTTATATTTTATGTCTGTTTATCTGCATTGATTATTTTGTCGCGGCGCAGGTGTGGGCGCCGGCGCTTTGCATTGCCGCGTGTTACTTATAGTTCGCTCTGATATTTTGTATTTAAAATTATTTCTAAAATTTTTCAAATTATTCTAGAAAATATGCAGTAACTTTCCATTATTTATTAATATTTATATAACGCTTATATTTATGATGTTAAATTTCTCTTAACCTAATTAATGAGCCTTAAGTCGCGTCGCGTCGCCATTCAAACGGTCATACTAACATCCATTTTAATATACAGAATATATATTTATTTACATTAATTGTATGCAAGAATTAGAAAAGATTAATAATTTATTAATTTTCTTTGATTTTTATGCAATATTTATCATTTTATGCCATGAAATTAACCAAAAATCATGGATTTCCTGTTAATTTTTTAATATGTATTCATTGAATTAGCATTAATTAATTGTGTTAATTTTGATAATCTTCGTAAATAAAATTGAGATTAAAATACAATTTTTATATATTTTCATGAATTTTCCCACTTATCCTTTAAATTATGAGCCATTTCTATGTGTAAAGAACTTAAGTTCACCAGGGAAATATGTAAAAAAATATAATTTTCTGCTTAAAAATAATAAAAATATCTTTAAAATAATAAAAAAACAATTAGAAAAACCATTTAAAATCTTATTTAATATACTTTTTCTTGCATTTTTCAATGATTTTCGCGAAAAATACTTTAAATCATGAGTCATTTGTATATAGAATGAATGCTTATTTTACTATGAAAACTTGTAAAAAATATAATTTCCTGTCTAAAACTAATAAAAGTCTGTTTAAAATTCTAAAAAGTATTAAAAAATCTACTTAAAACACTAAATTTTATGCAACATATTTGAATAATTTAATTTTTATTTTAATTTAAGAACATCGTATCAGATGATTCTATCAGATAAACGCATGGTAACCAATTGTTTAAGGGATAAACTTTTAAAAAATTAAGATGATTTCCAAAATAAAAATCTTATAATAAGGAAAATTACTTCTGAAATTACCACGTTTTAATCATTTAATTTTCTTTTTTTTATTAATTTAGAAAATTATTAATAAAGGAAAAATGTAACCTATCAACGAGTTTTTTTATATAGAATTTAATTTTTTTGTATGAAAATTTTAATAAAAATTAATCTTTTCTTAGGTTAATGATATTAAAAAAATTTTTTTTACCNTAATATTTTTCTTTCTAGCTCAAAGAGGGGCAAGATGACGAATGTATTTATTCAGAATGAGAGGAATCAGGATTATTCCTGTCCTGATGTGGAAAGGCTTCAAACTTTAGCCTTTTGTTAGTTTCATTTGTTTAATTTTTATATTTTAATGAAATTTTAAGTTGAGTATGGCTTACATATGTGACTAGTGTGGGCCTTTTTGACCAACATTTAAGGTCCTAGATATAAATAGTCTATTTATTAATCAATGCAGTATATTTTAAGATTATTTATTACTTTATGAAGAAAATTAAGGACTTTTGTTTCTAGCTGAAAGAGGGGCAAGATAACGAATGCATCGATTAATTCAGAATGAGAGGAACCATGACTATTCCTGTTCTATATATATAGAAAAGCCCCAAAACTTAGCCTTTTATTGTCGTAATTTACATGTTTTTATGGCATTCGAGTGGAACAGGGCGCTATACTTCTCACTAGTGTGGGCCTTGTCACTCTGGTTATAAATATTTATTAATTAATGAAGTAAATTCTAAAGTTATTCATCACTCTATAAAGAGAATTACAATTAATATTTCCTATTTTTAACTCAAAGAAAGGCAAGATAACGAATGTATCCTGTACTAAATCGTGTATCAAAGTTATTATAATTTGATTAATTCCCATATCACTCTGTATTCATTATGCATATTATCAATGATTAATCTATACACTAATTACCTGGAACAGATCAATGTATTATTTGAATCCTAATTAATTTGGAATTAAATTTATTTATTTTTTAGATAATAGATATAATCTAATTTATAAATTTCACAAATTTAATAGCATAAATTCGTATAAAAATAAATTAATTAACTTTGAAAATAGTTGCGTGGTGAGTAGTTGCGGATCAAATGTTCGTCATCTTGCCCCGAAAATTTAAATAAACGTTTTCGGCCATTCAAAAAATCAAGTAAAATTTAAAATAAAAATTTAATTTATTTGAAAGCTTTAAATGTAAATAAATTCAAAAAAATTTAGATTTTTAATATATTTTTTCGAAATTTTACCCATTTATGTGAATTATCAATATGAGATTATCAGAAGATAACGTTTCTATCCCATTAAATAAAGAATAGGTTAAGGGAATTTTTCATTTTTTTACTTGATTACCTTTCGTGTCCTCTCCAATTTATGTATTTTATTGTAATTTACATTCATATAAACATGATTTATATATAAATATGCTGATTGCTACATTCTATAGCCCGAGAGCACGATATGAATAAACTGATTATCTACCTAGAACATGATTTACATCCCTTATACATGATTGATTTAGAGTATGTATGCACATAAATTAATGTCAGGAGATAAATTAATACAGTCTTTTAGTTACTATAGCAGGTTGCATACAGTTTCCTAAAGTTAGAGTGTAGAAAACACAAAATAAAATGTTACTGTAAGAATATTTGTTGGATTTTCATTGATTGTACAGTACATGTTTTATTGATTATACATGAGATATTTTACGTGTTTATGAACGTGAATTGGTACCAGAACACAGTAAATTCTTAGTATATGCCATCAAAGTAGTGTGTGCTACAGTATAGAGAATAAATAGTATATATTGTGTTATACACATTGATTTTACATGCTTATGCATGTAAATTCTTGGCAGAACATAATTTAATATAGTCCTTTTACTGCTATGTTAGAATCTATGTAGATTTGTAAAAATAAAGTAGAGGAAAACGACACGAAACACTACTATAAGAGCATTATCTGGATGTTTATGGGTTACACAGGATTGATTTTATATTTTAAGAACATAAAATAGTGTTAGAGGGTAAATTAATGCAGCCTTTTTGTTACTACTCGAATAAGAATCTTGAAGACGACAGCAAAAACAGTGTTACTATAAGGATATTGTTAGATATTTATCGATTACAGTCATTGATGTTACATGTACTGTACATGTAATTCGTTTTTATATAAAAACAAAGGAATATGTCAAATTAGAATGTAAAATACGAAGGAATTCTTCAGTTTAGGATGTAAAAACGAAGCAATATTTCAGATTAGAAAGTAGAAAACGAAGGAATATATCAAATCAGAGTATAAAAGAACGAAGTTTAATGCTACCACAAGAAGTATTTGTCTAACATTATTTATTTATTTATTTATTTTAGAAAATTTAGATATAAAACTATAATTAACTTGAAATAAAAAAAGAAAAAATATTCATCACAAACGGTGTGATGCTTCACTACATAGTTCATAAGCTATGCAGAGAAAGAG